TTCCGGCTACTTGGAAGGCTGAGGTAGAAGGATCGCTGGAGCCCAGCAGGTCGAGGCTGCAGTGGCCGGGAGCGGCCACTGCACTCCAGTCTGGGTGACAGAGTGAGACTCCAACTCAAAAAAAAAAAAAAAAAGATATATCACAGAAGGATCCCTGGCTGTACAATATGCTTCAAGCAAAGCAATTAAGTAATATCATGCAAAAGAAAGAGCAGTACATCTTTTTAGATGTATCATTATTCTTATTAAAAGATTTTCATTTCCAGCCTTCCTTTCTGACAACTTTCTTATATATCCCAGTCAGATATGGCCCATGTTGATCTTTTCTTTTTCCTAACTGTACTAACAATACTTTGTACCATTGCGCAGGAAAAGGAAACAAAATTAAAGATAGCCTCTATTTTTATTGTAATTTTAACATCTGCAAGGAGAAATCTCAAGTTTGGTGCTGGCTTTACTTGTTAACTAATATTCATCAGTTGATATAAAGTAATAAAACAACAATCAAAGCAGTTGACTTACAGTTGTTGAAACATAATTGTTGAGCTCACGGGTTCATTTACAGGATCCTGCTTCAACTATCTTAACCCAACTCTACTCCTGGAATTCCCATTATTTGAAGTTACATAATGCTGATGCTTTATTGTAGGAATTCCAAGAATGAATTCCTTTTTACATATTTTAAATTGGTTTACTTGTTTGCCATCTAAAATCCCTACTGATGCCATCATTATTTTAAACTTCAAATAATTACTTAAAATCTCTGGCAGGGTGCAGTGGCTTCACACTTGTAATTCCAGCACTTTGGGAGGCTGAGGTAGGAGAATCACTTGAGCTCAGGAGTTTGAGACCAGTCTAAGTAACATAACAAGACCTCGTCTCCACTATATATATACATATATATATATATATATATACACACATATATATGTATATATATGTGTATATATATATATATATCAAAATTAGCCAGGTGTGGTGGTACACACCTGTAGTCTCAGGTGCTCTGGGGACTAAGGTAGAAGGATTGCTTGAGCCCAGGAGTTTGAGGCTGCGGTGAGCTGTGATCATACTGCTGCACTCCAGCCCAGATGATAGTGAGACTCCAACACACACACACACACACACACACACACACACACACACACACACACATACATGTTATACCTAAAGCTCTACGTTTTTTAAAAAAAAATTATTTTAAAGATGTAGGCTACAACCAGGGTTAGGTATAATGTTCATTATGCAGGGACCCTTGTTGATGAGGTGTGCACCCCCTCCCCTAGCAGTTTCCCACTACTGCCAATCCTTTTCTTACAGTATTACAATAATTGTTCAAGGTCCACTTATGAATGAGAATATGTGATACTCAGCTCTTTGTTTCTGCGATAGATCACTTGGTATTACAGACTCTAAGTCCATCCAAGTTGCTGTGAAGCTCATCATTTTGTCCTTTATGGCTTAAAGCTCCACTTCTTCCTTCCCTTTCTGCATCTCTCCCTTCAAAGAGATAACTTCTTTGAATGTATATGTATCGTATCCATATTTTTTCATTTTACTATATTCGTTATATATTATTCCATAAGCAACATACAATATTGTTTGGTATGTCTTTACTTTTACATAAATGCCATTGAACACTAAATGTATCTTTTGCTACCAGAAAACTTTTTTCATTCAATATTATGTTCTTGAGTTTGTAGATACTGATCTGGCTAGCTTTGTTCTTTTTTATCTACTGTAAAGTATTCTGAATGAATCCACAATTGATTTAACAACCGTATTTACTTCCTTACTGAAAAGCAGAATTTGTCCATTTTATCCTATTACAAACACTGCTGTGATGAATAACTGAATACATGTTGCCTACTGTACACGTGTGAGTGTCCCTGAAATGATACCTAGAAGTGAGATTTATCATTGAGTATATACATCTTCATCTTAACTTGATTGTACTAATAAGTAGTCCCATAAGTAGCATATGAAATCGCCTGTTTCATACTTGATTGATACAGCCAGGAAAAAGAAAGAAAGAAATGGACTGTTTCCCCAGGCGGAGTGGCTCAAGCCTGTAATTCCAGCACATTGGGAGGCCAAGGTGAGAGGATTGCCTGAGCTCAGGGTTCAAGACCAGCCTGGGCAACTTGGTAAGACCTCAACTCTACAATAAATCAAAAAATTGTCCGAGTGTGGTTACACGTGCCTGTAGTTCCAGTTACTTAGAAGGCTGAAGCATAAGGATTGCTGGGTGATAGAGTGAGACTCCAAATCAAAAGAAAAAAAGAAAGAAAGAAAACGCTTCAAGGACTCTATTCTGCAATAAAATGCTAGAGTTGCAGTAAACCTCCACCAGTGAGCAGCAGTAATGGAGTTGAGTAGGGCATGTCATGATGGAGAAGTGGTAGATCTGTCCACAAGATGGCACTCCTACTTCGTAGTTTAAAGCTTTATAGGCAATTTTGCAATGCTGCAAAACAGTGGATAAACTTGGGATTTTATTTTTTATGTAACTGATATCATGAATTATGTTTCAAATCCTACACATTTCGAACAGAAATTTCTTGCCCCTTTCTGATATTTGGGTCACAGTTATTTGATGTATGGATAGTATTATAGCCTAAGAATGAGGGGACATTCTAAGCAAGTGTTTGTGTGTTTGTTTGTATTTATGCACTCGAGCATGGGAACTTGTGTGTCCCTCCCATCAGACATGAACTTTTGGATGATGAAGTTCCAATGACTGGACTCAGGAGTGCAGCTAATCTGGGGGTCGTGATGAAAAAGTACTGGAGACAGAGCTTTTGTATGCCATGTTAATAAATTTGAACTGCATCCTAAAATACGTGGATAAGTCATTGAACAGGCAGGTGACAATCAGAGCAGTGCTGCCCAAATGTCACTCAGTGGTACCTATATAACACATTTGTGATTTTTGCCATATCTTCACATCACTAATAGTTACTTAATGTTTTTAGACCAACTATTCTTTTATAATGTACTCAAAGAGGAAACTCATTACTAACATTGCTTGCCATAATCAGAAAAAACATATAACTCTTAAAATAGATGTGTTCATTCAGACACCAACTTAAAAGCATCTCATGCCCCCACTAGTGTAAGTCTACCACACGTGGGGTAAGTCTGCTCTATGGTATGAATTGAGTTGGGGTGCACCCCAAAAAGGTGCTGAAATTGGGTTGGCGCCAGGTCCTTAAAGGTCAGATTTTTTTTTTTGAGTTGGGAGTCTCACTCTGTCACCCAGACTGGAGTGCAGGGTCACGCTCCCAGTCACCGCAGCCTCGACCTGCTGGGCTCCGGCGATCCTTCCCGCCTCAGCCTTTCCAAGTAGCCGGAAATACAGGCGCGCCCTACCACGCCCGGCTAATTTTTGATTTACTGAAGAGACGAAGCCTCGCCAAGTTGCCCGGGTGGGTCTCTAACCTGCGAACTTAGGCAATTCACTCGCCTCGGCCTCCCAAAGCTCGGGATTACAGGCTGAGCTACAGAGCCTGGCCAATGGCCGGATCTTAAATGACGTTAAAGAGCCAGAGTCAGTTGCAGGTGTGGAGCAATTGCGACCCAAGCCAAAAAGGATGTAAGTATACCATGTAACGTCTATATCATCATCTCTTCTGAAACTTTAATGTGCATATGAATCACTTCAAGGTCTTGTAAAAACACTGATTCGAATCCAGTAGAGGACCTGGAGTTTCTGCATTTCTAACGAACTCCCAAATGACGTTGATGCAGATATTGTTGGTTTCCCAGCCATGTAACGCAGCAAGGTACGGAACTGTTAAATCCGTACAGAGCAGAGACCACGACTTAACCTTTAGCAGAGCCTGGCACAAGGCACCTTCTCAGTTAATACTCGTTAAGAGTGGAATGAATTCTCTCCAGATCGTCCCATGACTGCCTTTCTCAATATGCAGATTTCGACTCACATGTATATCACATATACCTACTGCTCAAAACATTTTTATTTTATCCACACATAAAGTATGGTTAAGTTTTTTTTTCTATGTAGCCACAGCCTAGGATGTAAATTCCCTGAGAGAGAGACCTTAGTTGTGATGATCCCCCAGCTGAGGACCCACCTAAGTATGCCCCGGCCTGCTTGGGGGGAATACAGAGACAAACACGTCGGACAAGGCTTCTGCTCTTACGGAGTTGGTGGGGACTTCACCAAGCAAGAGGCAACCAGGCCCAGCGTCAACCTCCAGGACCTGTGCAGAAGGGCGGACAGCAGGAACCCCCTGGAGCCTTCCCTTTCCAAGAACACGGAGGTCTAGGACATCAAAAGAAGGCATCCACGCAGAGAGAGCCTGTGGGACCGCGGGAAAGGCGCTGTCTCATTGGACAATCCAGATCGGCTGAATCCAAAATGGCGGGGGAGAGTTATAATGGGTTGTCGCAGATGTACCTAGAAAAAGATTACAGATAGGATAATCGGGCCAGGAATAGAAGTTCTTAAATAATCTTATGTATATTTACTTATTAAATTATGCGTCCCCCTATTCTACGTCTTGGAGAAATTGAACTGGTCTGATTTTTTCCAGGGAGTAGTAGAGAGCAGTCGGTATAGAGAGTCTCCCTCACGGAGGGGGCGTGGGAAAGTGCTCGTGAGGAACCCTGGGAAACTCGGTCCTCCGCCACCATCTTGCTTTCTTTTAAGTCGGCTGTGACAGTGGATCAGAGCAATCTTGAGCCATGAAGCTGCTAACCAGAGCCGGGTCTTTCTCGGTGAGCAGAGCTGGCGGATTTGGGGAGGGGCTGGGAAGCAGTGTGTCAACAAGGTGCTAGGAGCCGGAGGTGCTTTGTTTGGGGTCCCCCGGCCTTGGGCTTCCGTCTGCCCTTCAGCTGAACCCTGCGGGCCAAGTGGGCTGCAGCCTGGGTCAGGCATTGGCGGCCCAGCCCGTGCTCTGAACAGAAGAGACCTAACTCTGGAAAACCCGGAGAGAGAGAGAGGGTTGAGAGCGGGGTAGAAGCGACTCTGTGGAGAGACTTCTGAAGGTCACTCCAGCTCCTTATGTGCGGGAGAAGGAGATCGCTAGCCCCGGGGGAGCGGAAGGTCGGCGCAGACCTAGCCCTCCACCCTTACCTTATCCGCTGCAGCCTGTGCTCGGTGGTTTATCACAGTGCCTGAACGTCATTGTTAATGATTATGGTGTCCTGGTAGTATAACGTGTGCTTTTCTTAAGATCTTTGTTGGAGGGTTCCGGCAGGACGGGCTTTGTCCTCAAAAGCTGCTTAATTAAGATTTTCTCTTCAAGCCCAAACTAAATATAGCTGTCACTTGGGGGAAAATTCAAGTGTTAGTGTTAGATCACTGTGGAGCAGTGGTTATCAAGAGGAGAAGGGGGAACTCTTTTCCAAAACTTCAGCCGGGAACCGTTAGCAACGTTTGGGGACGTTTTGATTATAACAACTTGTGGCGAGAGTGCTGCTGGCATACATCCTACAGTGCAGAAAAACAGCCCCCTACAATAAAGAATTACCCATATCGAAGGGCTACTAGTACCTGAGTTGAAAAAACCTGCTAGAGGAAGATGCAAAAGACCAGAACTGGAAATGAAATTTCTCTCTGCCTGTGTTTAAAGAGGTACTGTAGATTATACAAATTTAAATTTAGGCTGTAGTTGTATTAGCCTTCCTGGCATTCGTAGATAAACGATTAATGGCCTTCTGGTTTTTTTGTGTTTTTTTTTTTTGAGTTGGAGTCTCACTCTTGTCGCCCAGGCTGGAGTGCAGTGGCACCCTCATAGCCACTGCAACCTCGATCTTTTTGCCTCAGCCTTCGAAGTAGCTAGAACTACAGATGCACACCACCACACCCAGCTGGTTTTTGTGATGTAGAGACGAGATCTCACCAAATTGTCCAGGCTGGTCTCGAACCCCCAGGCTCAGGTAGTCCTCTCACCTCGGCCTCACAAAGTGCTAGGGTTACAGACTGAGCCTCCACGCCCAGCTGATTAACAACCTTTTGAGGGCAGCACATTTAGACTGGCAAAGGCCCCAAAATTTCCACCTCTATTATCCAGTAATATAAAGAGTCCAAAGATAACAGTCAGAGAGGACCAAAGCAATAAACTTGAAAGCAATTACTTATGTTTCTGATTACAGCATTTAGTTTACATGGGATTAAATGTACACTTTTTTTATTAAAACAAAATACTTTAGTAATTATATAACAATCACTAGGATAATTATTGCTGATTGAATGGGACAGATAAGCACATAACCAACAAAGTGTCACTGTTTAGTCATCTTTGAGTAGAAAGCACATAAATGGAGCCATGGATTATTCAAACTTGAACTATGCTCATATATCTTAAAATTTACTTTTTGGGAAATCAAACCAAAATTATAGGTAAGGTTAACTGTACCATACCTGGCAAACTAAATTGATGATGATAAAGCAAAGCTAATTGTAACTTATAATTAAAAAGTGATACTGAGAGTAAATGATAACCAGCAGCCAACTTGTTACAGCACTGATACTGAATGTACAACAAACCACTCTCTGGACAGTGCAGAGTGGAGATATTGCAGCCTCTGTTGGAGGTCCTAGGGAAACTGCAGTGACATGCTCAGTGAATCTTAGGAGCACCAAATTTTATTTACTCAGCATCTCCACAAGTAACCTTGTGAACCTTAGTCATAGTCAGAAATTCTTTATTTTATTTATTTATTTTGAGTTGGAGTCTCCATCGCCCAGACTGGAGTGCAGTGGCACACTCACTGCCACCCCAGCACTGACCTGCTGGGCTCCAGCGATCCTTCTGCCTCGGCCTTCCAAGCAGCCGAAACTATAGGCGCATGCTACCATGCCCAGCTAATTTTTTTTTATTTATTGTAGACACGAGGTCTGGCCAAGTTGCCCAGGCTGGTCTCGAACCCATGGGTTCAGCTGGGATTACAGGCTGAGCCACCAAACCCGGCCACTTTTATGATATTCTACATCATTTGCTGCAAAAAATTGAAGCGTGTGTGTGTGTGTGTGTGTGTATAATAAAGTTGATTCATTATCTGACATTTAAGAGGACCCTTTTGTCCTACCAGTAACTGCATATTATATATTGAGACTCTGCTGTGAAGCTATTATAAACTTGTATTTAGTCAAAGAAGTTAAGACCTGTGGTTGTATGGTCTTAAGTGTAACATGCAGGGAGTGAAAATACAGTGGGAAATATTGAGGGCTTGGAGGAAGTTGGTATATTTTGTCTTTTTTAAAGGCTGCTAAAATGATTAAGGAGATGAAGTCATTTCAGTTGAAAGACAGACTAAAAACATCAGACTCATTGGGTAGGTAAGGGAAGCAGTGGTGCCAAAACCTATAAAGGGTATGAGTGTGGCAATCTGACACTTTTTCAAAAAATTACAAAGCATTAGAACTAGAAAGAACCGCTCGAAACTAAAATAGTTGAAAGACCAGATGCCCTGGCTTATAATCCCAGCACTTTAGGAGGCCAAGGCAGGAGAATTGCTCGAGGCCAGGAGTTCAAGACCAGCCTGGACAACGTAGACCCCATTGCTAAAAAAAAAAAAAAATCTTTAAAAAATTAACCAGGCATTGTGGTGCGCACCTGTAGTCCTAGCTACTCAGAAAGCTGAAGCAGGAGGATCACTTGAGCCCAAGAGGTTGGGGCTGCAGTGAGCTATGATCATACCACTGTGCTCCAGCCTGGACAACACAGCAAGATTCTGTCTCTTAAAAAAAAAGAAAAAAAAAAGATGATTGAAAGGTAAAACAAAGTACAGTGATTCTTTATGCAGTAAAAATGTGAACATGGAGAACTCAGTATTCTCTATAAACCCTTAATAAATAGAGACTTCTGGTTTGCATACAGTGAAATTTGAAGGTTTATTTAGGCTATATAAATTTGTCTGTTTTAATGAATAGAATTGTTTATAAAGTATTAACATTTGTTGTCCACACAATAAATTGTTATGTTGCAAAAAAATAAATAAATAAATAGAGACTTAAGGATGGCTTGGGTAAACTGGTGGGTTTATAAGTTATTCAGCGAAATCCTCCCATGGAGATGGTTACTCCTGAACACCCTCTGTCACTTAGGTATACTAAGACATAATGCTTTTATAGAAAGCACTGTTCTTGTGAGAAATGTGTATAACCTATCTTTTTTGTGTTTAGAGATTTTATTCCCTCAAAGTTGCCCCCAAAGTTAAAGCTACAGCTGCACCTACAGGAGCACCTCCTCATCCTCAGGATCTTGAGGTTAGTCCCACTGAGTTGCTCACTGGAACCCATACATGCCTTACTCTTCTTGGTAATACAAAGACATTAATTATGTCTCTACTTTATTTGAAATACAGTTCACCAAACTACCAAATGGTTTAGTGATTGCTTCTTTGGAAAACTATGCTCCTGCATCAAGAATTGGTTTATTTGTTAAAGCAGGCAGTAGATACTAGGACTCCAACAATTTAGGAACCTCTCATTTGCTGCGTCTTGCATCCAGTTTGGTATGTATAAAACTATTTCACTGTTTGGAAATGCTGTGGTATCTTGGTCCTATGAAAAACAAAAATCAATGTCTCTATATTTGCTTCCTTGAGCTGGTGTAACAAATTACCATGAACTAGGTGGCATAAACAAAAGAAATTTACATTCTCACAGTTGTAGAGGATAGAGGTCAAAGTCTAGGGTGTCTAAGACAAGCCAAGGTATCAGCAGGGCCATGATAGCTTTAAAATCTCTAGAGAAGAATCCTTGGCTTGCCTTTTCCTGGCTTCTGGAGCTTGTCCGCAATCCTTCACGTTCCTTGATTTGCAGCCTCTGCCTTTGTTGTCATGTGGCCTTCCTTCTGTCTATGTCCAAATTTCCCTGTTTTTTTTTTTTTGATTTGGAATCTTACTCTGTCACCCAGACTGGAGTGCAGTGGCCGCTCCCAGCCACCGCAGCCTCGACTTGCTGGGCTCCGGCGATCCTTCCGCCTCAGCCTTCCAAGTAGCTGGAACTACAGGCGCGCAGTACCACGCCCAGCTAATTTTTTGATTTATTGTAGAGATGAGGTCTCGCCCAGTTGCCCAGGTAGGTCTCGAACCCGTGGGCTCAGGCAATCCACTCACCTCAGCCTCCCAAAGCACTGGGATTACAGGCTAAGCCACCGAGCCCGGCGAAGATTTCCCTGTTTTAAGGACACCAGTTCTATTGGATTTAGTGCTCACCCAACTCCAGTATGATATCATCTTAAAAACTTAAATCTGCAAAGACCTTATTTCCAAATAAAACTACTTTCACAGGTTCTGGCTAGCCGTGGATTTTTGAGGAGAGGCACTGTTCAACCCAGTACAGTCCCCTAATATAAAATGAGAAAACATACTACATTTGCCACAGGGAAGCATTAAATTTTTATCCATCTGAATGTTGATGTTAGAGCATAAGAAATCAATTTTTAAAAATTTAGTTTAGTTTAGAAATCAGTAAGAAAATTTTAAAAGATAGCCGAGTGTGGTAGCACGTGCCTGTAGTTCCAGCTACTTGGAAGGCTGAGGCAGAAGGATTGCCAGAGCCCAGCAGGTCGAGGCTGCGGGGTGGCTGGGAGCAGCCACTGCACTCCAGTCTGGCAACAGGGTGAGACTCCAACTCAAAAAAAAAAAAAATTTAAAAGAAAAAGTGCTGAAAGCAAATCACCTTTTTCCCCTATATGCAAGTCGTTTTCAAAATAGACTAATGAATTCAGTAAACTTTTGACAGTGGAATTTTTACATAAATATACTTCATGTAAAAACCTGTATGTATGTTTTTTGCTGAATGTTGTCTTATAATTTTTAAGGCTTTTTAGGGCTCACTAGTAAAAGTCCTTTGGAATCTGCTAATTATAGACAATAGATTTTTATATAATGTGATATCTGGCAAACTTGGCATTGAAAAACTACTGAGAAAATCATTCTTTTTTTTTCAAGACTTCAAAAGGAGCTTCGTCTTTCAAGATAACCCGTGGAATTGAAGCAGTTGGTGGCAAATTAAGGTTTGTTAAATAAATGATAGGAAATAAATAATGAAAACAAGCCGGGCTCGGTGGCTCAGCCTCTAACCCCACACTTTGGGAGGCCGAGGTGAGTGGATTTTCTGAGCCCGTGGGTTCAAGACCCGCCTGGGCAACTTGATGAGACCTCATCTCTACAATAAATCAAAAATTAGCCGGCTTGGTAGCACGTGCTTGTAGTTCCAGCTACTTGGAAGGCTGAGGCAGAAGGATCACTGGAGCCCAGTAGGTCGAGGCTGCAGTGGCTGGGAGCGTGCCACTGCACTCCAGTTTGGGTGACAGAGTAGACTCCAACTCAAAAAAAGAAAAATAGTGAAAACACCAGAAAATGCTCCATTGTAAGGTAACTTTTTTGTTATCAAGATGGTTCAGGATTTCTTAAACAGAGCACAAGAAGGAAAAGACTGATGAATTTGACTATACTAAAATGTAAAACATCTTTATGTTAAAATGTAGGAAACTGCCTGGAAGTAGATATTTGCAGTATACAGGCATACCTTGGAGACATTGCAGGTTTCAGTTCCAGACCATGGCGCTAAAGCAAATATTGTAGCAAAGGGAGTCACACAAAATTTTTGGTTTCCCAGTGCATATAAAAGTTGTATTTACACTATAGTCTACTGAGTGTACAGTAGTATTATGTCTTTAAAAATACATACATACTTTAATTTTAAAACACTTTATTGCTTTAAAAAATTGCTGGCAGTCATCTGAGCCTTCACCAAGTCAATCTTTTTGCTGGTGGAGGATCTTACCTTCATGTTGATGGCTGCTAACTAATCAGGGTGGTGGTTGCTAAAGGTTGAGGTGACTGACGGTTTTTTTTGGTTTTTTTTTTTCTCTTTTGTTTTGAGTCAGAGGCTCATTCTGTAGCCCAGGCTGGAGTGCAGCGGCACACTCACGGCCACTGTGACCTCAGCCTGTTAGACTCAGGCGATCCTTCCACCTCAGCCGTCCAAGTAGCTGGAACCACGGGTGCACACCACCATGCCCAGCTAATTTTTTGATTCATTGTAGCGACAAGGTCTCGCCATGTTGTTCAGACTGGTCTCGATCCTTTGAGTTCAGGCAGTCCTCAACTCTACCTTCCAAAGTGCTGGGATTATAGGTGTGAACCACCATGCCCAGTGACACTTTCTTAAAATAAGACAGCAATAAAGTTTGCTGCATTGATTGACTCTTCTTTCACTAAAAGATTTCTTTGTAGCATGAGATGCTGTTTTATAGCATTTTACTCACAGAACTTCCTTCAAAATTAGAGTTAATCCCCCTAAACCCTGCCGCTTCTTTACCAACTAAGATTACGTAAACCTTTATTGTCATTTCAACAATATTCACAGCATCTTCACAGTAGATTCCATCTCAAGAAACTATTCTCTTTCCTCATCCATAAGAACCAACTCATCTTTTCAAGTTTTATTGTGAGATTGCAGGACTTCAGTCACATCTTCGGGTTCTAGTTCTTCCACATCCTCCACTTCTAGTTCTCTTGCTGTGTCCACCACATCTGCAGTTAATTCATCTACTGAAGTCTTCAGCCCCTCAAAGTCATTAAAGGTTGGAATCAGCTTCTTCCAAACTCCTGTTAATGTTGATATTTTGACCTCCTCTTATTTTTTTTTTTTTTTGAATTGGAGTCTCACTCTGTCACCCAGACTGGAGTGCAGTGGCCGCTCCCGGCCACCGCAGCCTCGACCTGCTGGGCTCTGGTGATCCTTCTGCCTCAGCCTTCCAAGTAGCTGGAACTACAGGCACGTGCTACCACGCCCAGCTCATTTTGATTTATTGTAGAGATGAAGGCTTGCCAAGTTGCCCAGGCAGGTCTCAAACCTGCAGGCTCAGGCAATCCACTCACCTCAGCCTCCCTAAGGCGCAGGATTACAGGCTGAGCCACCAAGCCCGGCTGACCTCCTCTTATTAATCAGGAGTGTTTTTAATGGCATCTAAAGTGAGGAAAACCTTTCCAGAAGGTGTTTTTTGTTTTGTTTTGTTTTTTGTTTTTGAGTTGGAGTCTCACTCGGTCACCCAGGCTGGAGTGCAGTGGCACACTCACAGCCACCCCAGCATCAACCTGCTGTGCTCAAGTGATCCTTCCACCTCAGCCTTCCAAGTAGCCAAAACTACAGGCGCATGCTACCATGCCTGGCTAATGTTTTTATTTCGTGTAGAGACAGCCTCACCGTGTTTCCCAGGCTGTTCTCGAGCCTGTGGGCTCAGGCAATCCTCTCACCTCAGCCTCCCAAAGTGCTTCGATTACAGGCTTGAGCCACGATGCCCAGCCTCCAGAAGGTTTTTGATTAACTTTGTCCAGATCCATTAGAGGAATCACTGTCTATGACTGATATAGCCTTACAAAATGTACTTCTAAATAATAAGACTTGAAAGTAGAAATTACTTCCTGATCTACAGGTTGCAGAATGGCTGCTGTGTTAGCAGACTTGAAAACATTCATCTCCTTGTGTATCTCCATCAGAGCTCCTGGGTGACTAGGTACCTTGTCATTGAGCAGTAATATTTTGAAAGAAATCTTTTTTCTAAGCAGTAAGTCTCAACAGTTGGCTTAAAATATTCAGTTGACCATGCTGTAAACAGATGTAGTGTTATCTAGGCTCTGTTACTCCATTTCTAGAGCACAGGCAGAGTAGATTTAGCATAATTCTTAAGGGCCCCAGGATTTTCAGAATGGTAAATGAGCATTGGCTTCAACTTAAAGTCAGCTGATAATGATTTAACTTCTCTCTGGCCGTGAAAGTGCTAAGTGGCATCTTCCAACATGAAGCTATTTTGTTTACATTTAAAATGTGATATTTAGTATAGCTGCTTTGATCAATAATTTAGCTATATTTTTCGGAATAACTTGCTACAACTTCTCCATCAGCACTTGCTGCTTGACCTTGCACTTTTATGTTATGAAGATGGCTTCTTCCCTTAAACCTCATGGACCGACCTCTTCTGCAGCTTCCTCACCTCTCTCAACCTTCATAGAATTGAAGAGTATTAGGATTGTTTTGGATTAGGCTTTGGATGAAGGGAATATTGTGGCTGGTTTGATCTATCCAGACCACTAAAACTTGCTCCATTATCAGCATGTCTCAATTTTTTATATTTTATGTGTTCACTGGAGTAGCACTTTTAATTTCCTTCAAGAACTTTTCTTTTGCATTAGCAGCTTGGCTGTTTGGTGCAAGAGGCCTAGCTTTTGACCTGTCTCAGTTTTCAACATGCCTTCCTCACTAACCTTAATCACTTCTAGCTTTTGATTTAAAGCAAGACATGCAACTCTTCCTTTCACTTGAACACTTAGGGGCTACTGTAGTGTTATTAATTTGCCTAATAACTGTATTATTGTGTCTCAAGGAATAGGGAGGCCCAAGGAGAGGGAGAGACACAGGGAAATAGCCAACCAGAACACAGATTTCTTGATTAAGTTAACCATCTTATATGGACATAGTTCATGACACCACAAAACAATTACAGTATTAACAACAAAGATCACAGATCATAATAACAAAATAATACAAACGTTTGAAATACCACAAGAATTACCAAGTGATACAGACATGAAGCAAGTACAGGCTGTTGGAAAAATGGGGCTGATAGACTTGCTTGACACAGAATTGCCACAAACCTCCAATTTGCAAAAGTAATAACTCTGGAGCACAGTAAAGTGAAACTCAACAGAACAAGGTATGCCTGTACATAACATGCAGAGGATTACTATTTGAAAAAAAATAAAGAACTACAAATCCAAAAAAAAAAAACCAAAGAGAAAATGGATGGGCAAAGGATAGAAACAGGCTGTTCGCAGGAAAAAAAGCCAGAAACACCAATCTTGTAATAACCAGTGATACCATTTCATACCCATCAGATTTTTTACATATCATGTATTGACAGCAGTAAGATGATAGAGAATCTCATTCTGCTAGTAGGAGTATAAGTTGATATGACTTCTTAGAAAAGAATCTGGAAATATTTAGTAATAGTGAAAAACTCACTGTTTTTAATCCATATGTACAAAGGTATTCTTTATCTTTGTAAAGACTGAAATTTACTAAATGTCTTTGAGAAATGGGTAAAGTATGATAGAGTCATATGATGGGACTACTACACAGCAGCTAAAGAACTAGGTCTATATATCAGCATAGCACAACTTAAAAGCAAAATATTCTTGGTGGCTCAGTCTGTAATCCCAACACTTTGGGAGGCCCAGGCAAGTGGATTGCCTGAACCCGCAGGTTCGAGACCCACCCAGGCAACTTGGCAAAGCCTCGTCTCTACAATAAATCAAAAATTAGCCAGGCATGGTAACGCACGCCTGTAGTTCCAGCTCCTTGGAAGGCTGAGGAGGAAGGATTACCAGGAACCCAGTAGGCAAGGCTGCAGTGACTGGGAGCATGCCACTGCACTCAAGTCTGGGTGACAGTGAGACTCCAACTCAAAA